TTCTTCTTTCTTCTTGACGAGGAGAGACCCGTTGTTGCATCTAGATGGCAGCTTCCTAGCTTTTAAGGTCCCAGTCGCTACTCACCAAAGTAGTAGGTGGAACAATGTTTTGTATAGTATGTTATGCTAATTGAGCTTGATGTCCCCTGTGACTATGGTCCTAAGCCCGCAGGTTCAACTACTCGGTCCCTCTGGGTAGCTGGCTGGGACCAAACACTGACCACAACCCTCTGGAAGGGGCATTCTTAACCTAGGGCTGGGCTTCGTGATTCAGGGTCCTGTGACTCAGATTAATTGGCCAAATCTCACAGGTGGTGTGGGCAGTTTCAAGTGTTAGCTCATTAACCTCCTTAAACATTCCACGGTCTGTGGTTGTTCTGCTTAATTTTAATTAGCCAAATCTCACAGGTGGTTGTGGGCAGTTGCAGGCGTTAGCTCATGAACCTCAAATATTCCATGGCCTGTGGTTGTTCTGCTTAATTTTAATTGACCAAATCTCACAGGCAGTTTGGATTGGTTGGAGGTGTTAGCTCATTAACCTTGTTAAATATTCCACCTCTCTCCCTTTTCTCCTCCCTTTGGCCTGCCCCTAGAGTAGGGCAGTCCTCCTGTCCTACGTTCCTGCCTAATGTAAGGACTGAAATAAGCAGCGAGGAAGGAGGTTGGCCTCCCAGGTTGAGAGAGAGAGTGAAGAAAAGGGAAACTAGATGTGGGGATACCCCAGACATAACCATTTAACATGAGTAGGTCGTTTCGGCTACAGAGACAGGTTTACACAGCCCGGTGCTCAGAGATGTACCGTGGTGGGCATTAGCTAGGAGGAGAGTGTGGCTTTGTCTGGCAGGCACTGGGGTGTCTCTGAAAACTCTCCATTCAGGGGGTGATACCTGCATATCAACACTCCAGGAAGATGCATTTGGCAGTGGCTTAGAAGAAGCAGCAGATGGTGGAGAGATTGGGGCAAGAGAGGTGTTGATCCAGGTGAGGTCTAAGGTGGCTGTCTAAGGCTGGGTATTGAAACCAGAAAAGAAAACACAAGGCAGCCCCTTGGAGTTCCAGCTCTTGCAGGTTTCACTGTACTGCTCACTCTACCATTACTATCCTGTGCTCCAGAAGGGGAAACTGAGGCCCAGAGCAGCACAGTTTCTTGCCCACTGTCACACAGCTCAAAAGTTGCTCCAAGGGAACTTGAGCCTGGGCAGACTGGCTCAGGAGCACTTCTGAACCACTACATTAGAAGGGAGGACAGGAAGAAGGAACAAGCACCACTTTGTGGTAACCAACAGGTAGGGGATAAGGACAACTTTAGGCTTGGAAGTCTGTGTGGGATGCAGAGAACGATCTTTTGGAGGGAACTAAGGTTCAGAGGAGGAGCGTTGGTGGCACAGTGGCTGTGTTGTTGTTACGTGCAGTCCAGTCAGACCGGACTCACAGCGACCCCTCCTTGGGTTTCCGAGGCTGTCAGTCTTCACAGAAGCAAAGCCCAAACCAAATTCACTGCCATTGACTTGACTTGACTCATAGTGACCCCTCCTTGGGTTTCTGAGGCAGTATCACTACAGAAGTAGATTGCCCAACCTTCCTTCTGAGGAGTGGCTGGTGGGTTTGAACCACCAGCCTTCGGGTTAGCAATCAAGTACCTTAGCCACTATGCTACCAGAGCTCCCGCAGTGCTTAGGCCTAACCAAAAGGTCAAAGTAAAGCGTTAACTGAAAGGTCAGAGGTTTGAACCCACCAGCTGCTCTGTGGGAGAAAGATGTAGCAAACTGCTTGCTTCCTTAAAGGTTACAACAAAGAGCTTGGGTTTTTTGATTGTAAGCTTCAAAGGAAGGAGGCCTGGTGGTGCAACTGCTAATGGAAAGCTGGTGGTTCAAACCCACCAGCAACTCTATGAGAGACAGATATGGCAGTCAGCTTCTGTAAAGATAACAGCCTAAGAAACCCTGTAGGGTAGTTCCACTCTGTCCTCTAGGGGTGCAAAGAATCAGAATAGACTCCACAGCAGTGGGTCTGGTTTGGGCTTTGCTTTCTTAAAGATTAAAGGAGCTCTGGTGGCGTAGTGCCTAAGGCACTTGACTGCTAACCAGAAAGCTGGAAGTTCAAACCCACCAGCCACTCCTTGGCAGGAAGGTTGGGCAATCTACTTCTGTAGTGATACCCCCTGAAAACCCAAGGAGGGGTCGCTATAAGTCAGGGACGACTCGACGGCACATAACAACAACAACAATAAGTGGCACAGTACCTAAAGCATTTGACCGCTAACCAGAAGATTGGCGGTTCAAACCCAACAGCTGCCCTGTGGAAGAAAGATGGAACAATACACTTTCATAAATTGTTACCACCTCGAAAGCCTAGTGGGGGTCGCTATCAGTTGGAACTGACTCCATGCCAGTGAGTAAAGATTTGCAGCCTAGAAAACCCACTGGGGCAGTTCCACTCTGTCCTCTAGGGGCGCTGTGAGTCAGAATCGACTCCATGGCAGTGGGTGTGGTTTGGGCTTTGCTCCTGTGAAGATTGACAGCGTTGGAGACCCTGTGGGGCAGTTCCACTCTGTCCTCTAGGGGCGCTGTGAGTCAGAATCAACTCCATGGCAGTGGGTGTGGTTTGGGCTTTGCTCCTGTGAAGATTGACAGCCTTGGAGACCCTGTGGGGCAGTTCCACTCTGTCCTCTAGGGGCGCTGTGAGTCAGAATCAACTCCATGGC